CATTTTTTATGAGTTCTGAAGAATTTGGCATGTCAGAAGACTCTCATGCAAAACAATTTTACGGCTCAGCCTTAGACAACTGCTCTACTTTTACTTATATTAGGTCTATGTGTTTGAAAAGGATTTATATTATCGATAACAGCTACGTTGCAAAAGACAATAAAACCACTGATTGACTGAAAATCAATAAAAGAGCAAATACGGAATGGAGATGGAGCATTTTCACACGATTGACAGTGTTCAAATTTACGAAGTTGCCATGTGCTTGAAACGGATAGCCAACGACCAGTACTAACGTATTGATGCTAAACATGAATCGTGAGTTTGAAGGTTGTGCACAAATTTCAGACTATGCAATACAGCTTGGAGAGATGTATGTTGGAAATAACAGAAATGAATGCAAGGCAATTTGTAGGTGCATAAAGAGGAGCCTCCAACGTAAACGTAAGAGAGAAGAAATCAAAATATCAATGGGCAGCACGCACTGAAAAATGTGCTGTCAATCGCTGAATCAAAGATATATAAGACTGCTTTCTCGAAGATAGTCAACACCCTCGATAGAACACCAGATTGATGGTAAAACGAGTTGACGCGTTTGTTGCAATAACGAGGATATGAATTCAAAATGATCAATTTTTGTTGCTTAATCTTGATGTTGCTTCCATCCAGCAGTTGCCGAAAAAGCCTGAAGGTCATATGCCTTCCCTACTGTACGAACAGAAGCTGAATGCTCGTGCGGTAGACCGTCGAATTTCTGGCAGAACGATTTTTAACGGACGACGTCATGAATTTTTCAGGATAAAATCTGCGAAGCATGTTTTAATAGAGCTGGCAAAATTTTGCATTATGTCTTCACTCTTCTGAAAATGAGCAATTTTTGTCACTGTTACTCACAAGCAAACATACCGAAATTTCATCCAACTCCAAAGCAATGGTACTAAGTCCAAACCTATGGAAATAACGGCCTTCCGCATTAAAACCTTCTGTAGAACTTAGACGTCTAAACGATTACTCATAGCATTGGGGGAAAATATGCTCGCCATTCAACACCCATTCACTCCATAAAAATCTCCTACAAGGCTGATACTCGATATGCGAGAATGGACCTCTAATGAAGTTTTGTTAACATCGCTGCTTCGAAATCCCAATCCTGTTAAAGAGTAATTCTCGAGTTACTTTTAAGACATAGTTCCTTTCCACTTTGTCATCGTGTATTTTTCACTTACTTTTAACGTTTTTTATGTTCCTTTACTGGTTTCACTTATTTACTTTTCAAATTTTTGTTAGTCTTTGAAACTGCAATTAATTCTGTTTTATACATTTTTTCAGTTTTTAATTTTTCTGCTTTGCTAAAAGAACAGTTTTTCTGGCCATCTGACGGATGCAATAAACTTTTACTTTTTCATTCACTCTCACTGTCAAATTAAATTAATTTACTTGTCTTTCTAAGAACACAGTCCTAGCTTTCACCAGCCCACCTATGGAATGACGTAAAAATCAGTATTGTATCAAGGTAGGCTACAAATTGGTAGAAGATTTTTGATTCTCACACATTTTTCAAATCAGAGACTGATAGGTTTTCTTCCTAATCAGCTCCTGCATCGGTATGGATGCAATAAGACCGTGTACTGATCTCAAGTAGGCCATAAGGCTTTTGTTGGAATGAAGACGCAGTGAGATCGTGTATTCTTTCCTATTTGCACACAGTGGGCAAAACCCTTACGCAACGACTGGACAGTTTTAATATACCTCATTTCCTTACCATAGTATCGGTGAACAGAGAATTTCGTTCTTTACATCGATGATTCTATGGCATTTAGGATGTCAACAAAATCAATC